ACCAGCCTGGGCAACTTGGCGAGACCTCATCTCTACAATAAATCAAAAAATTAGCTGGACCTGGTGGCGCATGCCTATAGTTTCAGCTACTTGGAAGGCTGAGGCGGAAGAATCACCTGAGCCCAGCAGGTCGAGGCTGCGGTGGCCCAGAGTGTGCCACTGCCCTCCAGCCTGTGTGACAGAGTGAGACTCCTACTCAAAAAAAAAAAAAAAAAGAGTACATCATTGGGAGTTCCATCCTATTGCTTGATGAGGCATGCAGTGTACTGTTCTCTTCAAGTGCCAGAGTCCTGTAATTCACACAAAGATATGAATGATTGTAGCTTCACTGTTTATTTATTTATTAATTTATATTTTATGTTATTTTTTTGAGTTGGAGTCTCACTCTGTTGCCCAGGCTGGAGTGCAGCAGCATGCTCACTGTTACCCCAGCGTCGACCTGCTGGGCTCCAGCAATCCTTCCACCTCAGCCTTCCAAGTAACCAGAACTATAGGCATGTGCCACCACGCCCAGCTAAGTTTTTGATTTACTGTAGAGATGGGGTCTTGCCAAGTTGCCCAGGCTCATCTTGAACCTCTGGGCTCAGGCAGTCCTCTTGCCCTCTGCCTCCCAAAGTGCTGGGATTATTAGGTGTGCTCCACTGCACCTGGCCAATTTAACTTTTTTTTTTTGAGTTGGAGTCTCACTCTGTCGCCCAGGCTGGAGTGCAGTGGCCGCTCCCGGCCACCGCAGCCTCGACCTGCTGGGCTCCGGCGATCCTTCCGCCTCAGCCTTCCAAGTAGCCGGAATTACAGGCATGTGCTACCACGCCCGGCTGATTTTTTGATTTATTGTAGAGATGAGGTCTCGCTGCCCAGGCGGGTCTCGAACCCGTGGGCTCAGGCAATCCACTCACCTCAGCCTCCCAAAGGCGCGGGATTACAGGCTGAGCCACCGAACCCGGCTCAATTTAACTTTTAAAAAACTTTTTAATGTAGCTACTAGAAAATTTAAAATCACTTACGGAGCTCCATTACATTTCTTTTTTTGTTTCTTTGCTTTTTTTTTTTTTTTGCAAAATGGTCTTACTGTGTTGACCAGCTGGTCTTGAAGTATGCTCAAGAAATCCTCCCATTTCAACCTCCTGACTAACTGATACTACAGGTATCTGCCACCAAGCCCACCTCACGTTATATTTCTATTAGATGCCATTGCTCTAGAACTCTCTGTCCAATATAGTAGCCACATGTGACTATTTAAGTTAAATTGAAAATTAATTAAAATTAAATAAAAAATAGTTATTTATTTGAACTAGCTACAATTCAAGTACTTAATATAGTCTGTAAGCCATAGAATATGTCTGACATCACATAAATTTCTTTCAGACAGTGCTGCTCTAGAGACTACTTGAAGACTACTGCTTTTTAAATTAGGGCATAGGATAGCCTGGATGTTGGGGCTGCTCACTAACATGCTCACCTGTCCCTTGGTATTGAAATGATTGGATGGGTTATTTCACCATCTGCTGAATGGATCACTGGGAACAGCTTGGCTTGAGATGGGATAGCACTATCTTTTAAAATCAAGCTGGAACAGCTCACACTGCAGGCTTTGGAGAGGACGTTGATGTTTGGTGTGGGAAAGAGTATCAACTGCCTCTTTTCAATGATTTATCTTGGGATAAAGCCTGTGAACCAAAACTTCGCTTATTTATCTTTCTTAAGGCCAGAGTATCCTCTTCCCACCAGATCACTAAGAATTTTAATTAGCCATTTATCGACACTATTTACCATTTGTGTCTCATATTGATTATGTGCTTACAATCAGATATGTTGGTAATAATTAATTATATTCAGTTTCAATTCCAGACCCTATTGAAATATGCTCATTCCATGTAGTTTGTCATTGTTTTAGCTCCAAATAACTCTAATGAAGGAGGTGTGGTTGTGGAATCCTTTTCCTCTAGTAGCCCAGGTCATATATTTTTAACTGAGATGATATTGTCTCCCAACAGGTGAATGTTGGTTCTTTTCTTTTAAGCTTTATTGAGATATAATGTACATACTATACAGTTCACCTGTTTAGAATATACAGCTCAGTGTTTTTTAGTATATTCATAAGGTTGTATAATCATTACCATAATTTAATTTTAGAACATTTTTGTCCCCCTAAAAGAAACCCTGCATTCATTGGTTGTCATTCCCCATTTCTAAGCCCTAAGCAACTACTAATCTACTTTTTATCTTGATATTTGCCTATTCTGGGCCAGGTAGCTCATGCATGTATTTCCTGCACTTTGGGAGGGCAAGGTGGGAGGATCACTTGAGGCTAAGACCAATCTAGGCAATATAGTAAGACCTTGTCTCTATTTTTTAAAAAAAGTCAAGATAATTGCCTATTCTAGAAACTGAAAATTGGTTTCAAGGGTGGGTATCTTAGATATAACAATAGTTTATGGTCCTCCAAAGCTTAACCCTACCTGACAAAGTATTTAATTCTTTAGTATTTAGTATTTAATTTATCTCATTGGACTTTCTTGGGTATCACATGAACAACATTGACATTGGATTCATGAAAGATACACAAAATATATGGAAGATCAGTGTTACAAATTATGGCAAATAGATGCCTGTGATTAATGAACTTTCAGTTAATTGCTCCATCTCAAAGTTTTATGATGAGAGAGATGGCTTGCAAGTGTCTGTTGGCTGCCACTGGCTGCTGTGGTAGTGTTATTTATGTTTGATCCTTAGTATTTTTGGGATTTGAACTTTGAGAAATAAATGAAAGTAGTTTGACAAAAGTTATTAAATTTATCATTAATTTAGTCAAGACTGAAAAGAGAAAATGTTGACAAATCTGAATGAATATTTATTTATTTATTTATTTATTTATTTTTTGAGTTGGAGTCTCATTCTGTCACCCAGACTGGAGTGCAATGGCTGCTCCCTGCTACCGCAGCCTCAACCTGCTGGGCTCCAGCGATCCTTCCGCCTCAGCCTTCCAAGTAGCTGGAACTACAGGCATGCGCTACCATGCCCGGCTAATTTTTGATTTATTGTAGAAATGAGGTCTCGTCAAGTTGCCCAGGCAGGTCTCGAACCCGCGGGCTCAGGCGTCCACTCACCTCGGCCTCCCAAAGTGCTGGGATTACAGGCTGAGCCATCGAGCCCGGCCCTGAATGAATATTTAGCAGTTGGTATAAAAGTTATTTTCTTATAGCAAGCGAAAGTTAAAAGTTAAGTTCACTAAAAATTTTTTAAAGAAATTAACTTAAGACCAGGCATGGTGGCTCAAGCCTGTAATTCCAGCACTTTGGGAGGCCAAGGTGAGGGGATTGCCTGAGCCCACGGGTTCAAGAACAGCCTGAGCAACTTTGCAAGACCTCATCTCTACAATTAGATGCCATTGCTCTAGAACTCTAATCAAAAAATTAGCACGAGCTGGGCTCGGTGGCTCAGCCAGTAATCCTGCGCCTTTGGGAAGCTGAGGTGAGTGGATTGTGTGAGCCTGCGGGTTTGAGACCCGCCTGGGCAACTTGGCGAGACCTCATCTCTACAATAAATAAAAATGAGCCGGGCATGGTAGCGCGCGCCTGTAGTTCCAGCTACTTGGAAGGAAGGCTGAGGCAGAAGGATCGCTGGAGCCCAGTAGGTCGAGGCTGCGGTGGCCGGAAGCGGCCACTGCACTCCAGTCTGGGTGACAGAGTGAGACTCCAACTCAAAAAAAGAAAAAAGTCCAAAAAGGCTATATGAGGGGGTGATTATGGGGAAAAAAAAAAAAAAAAGACCAGGCTCGGTGGCTCAGCCTGTAATCCCAGCACTTTGGGAGGCCGAGGTGAGTGGATTGCCTGAGCCCGTAGGTTTGAGACCCTCCCGGGCAACTTGGTGAGACCTCATCTCTACAATAAATCAAAAATTAGCTGGGCGTGGTAGCGCGCGCCTATAGTTCCAGCTACTTGGAAGGCTGAGGCCGAAGGATTGCTGGAGCCCAGCAGCTCAAGGCTGCGGTGGCCGAGAGCGTGCCACTGCACTCCATTCTGGGCAACGGAGTGACATTTGCAACTCAAACAAACAAACAAACAAACAAAAAAGTTGAGACACAAAAACTTTTGTGTAGGTATATTTGAGGGGTTTTGAAAGAAACTGGAATTATTTTTTGGAGGGTGGGCCGGGCCCCCTGTAGTATAGGCTTTCCCCACTAGGTAAGTATCAGCTAATGTTGTGAGAGGCTGCATTTGGCCTCAGTGAATTTTTTTTGGAGATTTTTTCAATGCATATGCCCATTTGATGATGGGTGATTTACGAGCATACCTGCTCACATTGCACTGAGTGTTCAGCAGTTTTTGGCCAAAAACAGCATGACTCCTATGCCCCACCCTCCCTATTCACCTGATCTTGTCCCGAGTAACTTTTTGTTTTCCCGGATGAAAAAAGTCCTCAAAGGAAAACTGTTTGCTGATGTGGAAGAGGTGAAACATAAAACAGCAGAAGCACTAAAAGGCATCAAAATTGATAAGTTCAAAAATGATTTGTAGCCGGACTCAGTGGCTCAGCCTGTAACCCCGCGCCTTTGGGAGGCTGAGGTGAGTGGATTGCCTGAGCCCGCGGGTTCGAGACCCGCCTGGGCAGCGAGACCTCATCTCTACAATAAATAAAAAAATCAGCCGGGCGTGGTAACGCGCGCCTGTAATTCCGGCTACTCGGAAGGCTGAGGTGGAAGGATCGCCGGAGCCCAGCAGGTGAGGCTGTGGTGGCCGGGAGTGGCCACTGCATTCCAGTCTGGGCAATCGAGTGAGACTTCAACTCAAAACAAAACAAAACAGAAAAAAAAAACCAAAAATGATTTGAGCCATGGAAAAAGCATCTCAATAGGTGTGTTGTATCAAACAGAGAGTACTTTGAAGGTCACTGAAGTTTAAACGTGTAAGAATAAATTTACAATTTTTTATAAATAAATTTTGGGTTTTTTTTTTGTCCCTCTCCTTGTATCTTTTGGTGGGAGGGTGATTAGTTCCAGAACTTGGGATGGCAAAATCTAGATTAAAGGGAAATGATTCTACTGGTTGAAGGTAGACCAGCTTACACTAAAGAATTCCATGATATTTCCCTTCACTCAATTCTGTGGTGTTTTCCCTCATATTTATTGAGCATGTACTACTTATAAGGCTCTATGCTAGTTACACTAGTAGGGTGGAAGTGCAGAATAAGATGAGTCAGATAATATACATATTTAGAAGAAATAGTGCCTATTTATACTTAGTCTAGTTGGAGAGATAAGCTAGAAACATGGAAATTTCATAATACATAATGTTCATAATTAAACATAATACAGTATTTGACTTACTGCTAAAAATTCCAATTTACCTGCAGTATTCTACATGTTTATTTTTTGTGTTGGAGTCTCACTCTGTCTCCCAGGCTGGAGTGCAGTGGCATGCTCAAGCCACCACAGTCTCGACCTGCTGGGCTCAGGCAGTCAGGCCTCAGCCTTCTAAGTATTTGGAACTATAGGCTCATGCTACCATGCCCAGCTACTTTTTTGATTTATTGTAGAACGAGGTCTTGCCAAGTTGCCCAGGCTGGTCTGGAACCCCTGGGCTCAGGCAATCCTTTTGCCTCAGTCTCCCAAACTGCTGGGATGACAGGCTTGAGCTACCATGCCCGGTCATCTACATGTTTGTTCTATAATGTCCCTGTTTATGCAGTGTTTTTTTAGTATTCCATGGTACTTTGTATGTACAGTATTTAATGACTGTCTAATATCACAGCTTTAGCTCTGAGGCCAAGATATGAGAGGAAATAATGTGGGTTCTTGTTTTGGAGGAATCTGGCTTATGTTCTTCATGTGTTGTATTGAGAGACAGCAATACTAGTATTGTTAGGGTTGGGGGAACTAGTCAGTCAAGGTTGTAGAGTATGTCTATGGAAAACCTAGGACTGGAATTACTGAATCCTGGGTTTTATATTTTGTTTTGCCTTTCTGGAAATCTGGCAGCCATTTACAGAGACAATGGAGTATACTTTCTTTTGGCTCTTTTAGAGCAAGTCCATTGGCTATTGAACAGTGTCAACAAAGTTATGGAATTCAGGACTGATTACCTCCCTGGGTAATTTGATTTGTTTTCTTTCTAAGCACACTGACTGGGATCAGGACTTGGGAATGCACCCAAGGAAGGCCTCAGCCTTGCAAATTACTTGACCTGACATCATGACCTTTCAACTGCACTGTGTTATCAGTTGGACTTTGGAGCTGGTCCTCAAGAGGACTTTTAAGTGCTTCAGGTCGTGTTTCGGCTTCTTTGTTTCTTCCACTGCTCTTCACTTGTATTTTTCTTTTATAGGTGTCTCTGCAAACAGACTCATGGGTGGTGCCATGCAGCTTACCTTCCGCAAGATGTCATTTGACTATTATCCCTTCCACTGGGCAGGTTAGGAGAATTCTGAATGGGGTTAGTTCTAGCATAGCCCGAAAGAGGGAGGGCAGATTCCTGGGTTCATCCCTGACTGCTTAGAAGGAAGGTGCCAGGGATCACAGCACGTACTCAGAGTGATGTTGGAAATACCTTCAAGAGGACATCTTCTGGAAATTTGCGTAGTCCACTGTTGATGATTCTTTGTCAGTAATGAGAGGAGGTGGGTAGGGGAAGTAGTACCTAAGATGCTGCTTTTGGTTCCTGGCCCCTCACTTCCACTTGATTTAGAGCCTCTCCAGTAGTCCCTAGTCAATGATGGCAGCAGCCAGGGCTGGCCTTTAGGTAGCTTTTGGGGAAAATCACATAGAGTCCAGAAGAACTGGGAACTCTTATTGGATAATGTTTCTTCATTCCAGAGAATTCTGGAATTCTGAACTGTGCTGTACTGATAGCAAGGAAAAACTGGAACATTGGATCATAATCTTGATCTAAAATCTTTTTGCTTCTTTGTTGCACAGGTGATAGCTGCAAACATTGGGTACGGCACTGTGAGGCTATGGAGACTAGAGGCCAATGGGCCCAGAAACTGGTGATGGAATTTCAGAGTAAAATGGAGAAGTGGCATGAAGAGACAGGCCTGAAACCACCCTGGCACCTGGGGGTAGACTCTCACTTTCGGAGGAAAGCAGGTGGGTGGGGAACTGAAGGACTTCAGTTGCTTAGCCTCTTTTTTTTTTTTTTTGAGTTGGAGTCTCACTCCGTCGCCCAGACTGGGAGTGCAGTGGACATTTTAAAATTACGTTTTACTGTACACCATTTTGGCAATCTTTCCCACCTTTTGGCAAATCAAAAGAAAACCTCATAATATGTAAGAATAGGACAACCCATAATAATAATCACTAAGAATCTTTCAGGACCTATGCGGAGGCTCATTCCTATGATCCCAGGACTCTGGG